AACTGAATAATAAAGTTACTTTTTGCGGAACGGCTCGAAACGGGTGTTGTTTCTTTTCACGCATCAAAACGACGTCGTTTGCCTGGACTACAATACATTGTAGGCCGCGGTCCACAGTAAAATTTGCCTCTACTCTTGCCCAGGGTCGACCGTGGGTGATGCATGTATATTTTTCCTTGTATGAGTTTAAACATATTTAAATTATAGGGAGTTAATTCCATCTGAGGTCCTCCAATTATAGTGATTTTGCCACGTTTAGTCCTAAACTTTCAAATCAACCATATGTGGTTCTTCGACTTTCAAATTTAAACATTCGTGGTCCAAGTTAACCATCCATGGTCCTTCAACTATTAAATTTTAACCAACCATGGTCCTTTCAAGAGGACCGCGACTGGTTAAATTTTGAAAGTTGAAGGACCATGAGTGGTTAACTTGGATCATGAATGGGTAAATTTGAAATTTGAAGGACCACAAATAGTCAATTTAAAAATTTAAGACTAAACGTATCAAAATCACTATACTCGAAAGACTTTATGTGGCATTAACTCTTAAATTATTTGTGTAGTCATCCAATTTTTGTATGATCTTTTTGATGATCGGTATTATTGACCACTTTCAACTGACAACTGGTAATTAAAAATGACGAGTATATGAGAGTAAATCACATTAAGAATTTCTTTAGAGTAATAATTGTGATGTGACAGTATTAGGTTTTAGTGGACAGATCTCAGTGCCAATCCTACTAATCAACCAGCCAATGAGCTAATGGCCATTCATCATTGTTGGGTTGGTCCGGCCCATGAAGTCTAGATAAACAAGTTCAGTTTTGTTTAACTTCTACAAGCCCAATTGACATAGGCCCAATCAAGCCCATGGAATCCTTTATTACTAATTTAGTATAGAAGATGAGGGAGGCCACTTGTAAGATGGGCTATTATGATATTCTGAATAAAATCTATCCTTATCTTAAATTTACACCTTTAATCCTACCATTGATTTTGATGTTCCACCTAAGTTTGTTCTTATAGTTGAGGCACATGTCTTTTCTCTTCCTTTATTTTTCAAAAGTGTAGTTTTCTTGACTCCTAATGCTATTATTATGATAAATACAACTCAATTATACTTTGTAAGTGTATACTAATTATAATTATTGAAGCTTAATGTAATACTATATCACAAATGGATTGCATATTTATAAGTTTGAGCCTAGATTTAAAAGTTCATTACTGCTCATGTTCGGGAGACTGGCCGTTGAGGAGGAGAGTACCTGTTTAGGTGACTATAACAAATAAAACAATTTCAATTTTGTTGTGACTAACAAAATCTAACCTATCAGTAGTATCTACTCAAACCTGTGACCTTCTATTTGGAAGGACCACAATGATGCCATCAAATCACAAGGTTCTTGGCAAGCAAATTTAGATTTTAGAAGTGTGTTTTAGAAAATCATACCCTAAACCTTAAATTATAAGGATAATTATCTACTACATATTTTTTGCCCTTGTTGTTTGGTAATATAACTGTGAAAAAACACTAAATGCTAATCTAACCCTTATTAGATACACGTATCAGTTTATTGATCTCCTTGAAAATGGACCAAGGACTTGGGTTGTTCCTCCATTTCTCTCTCGGTAGTGACCGAATCAATATCCTATATTTCATTAATTGTAAACTTATATAATCTTGTCAATTATGTACTAATTTGTAAATATTAAAAATCTAATGTTACATTTATTAATAATTAAGGAAACCCTATATTCTCCAAATTCTCAATTTATATTTTTAGTTATAAATCAAAATTTTGTTATTTTTTAATCATTATAAATCATCTCATAAGGACATAACTTTAGTAAATATCATTTTGCACATCTATTGCCTTTTTTGTATTTATAAATTCATTATATATTTTTAATAATAATCGCCCGCCAAAAAATACACCATGCGTGGCACGGCTTGGCAGTGTATTAGACCGCGTAACTATGGGTCCCACTTTACACCTTCCCTTATGTTCCCTTTCCCCATTTTTTCAACCCCCAAAATTTTCACTTCAAAGATTCTGCTTTCAGATGATGGACCCGAAGTTCGCCGGAAAGTTCACGCCGGCGCAGTACTTAGTTGGCCGGACGGACCTCGACCAGATGCCCGACACCCCAACCCGCGGGTCCCGCCACCGCCGGACCCAGTCCGAGACCTTCTTCCGGTTCCCGGACTTGGACGATGACATCATGCTCGACGACGTCGTTGGAGACTTCAACCACGACGCCCTCGCCGACACCGCCATGCAGCCGGCAAACTCGGCCGACTCGTCCTCCACCGGGCCGCCGCGATCGGCCGGGCCGTTCTTTGACCATAAGCCGGCGACCCATTTCCGCAGCCTTTCCGTTGACTCCGACTTCTTCGATGGTCTGGAGCTGGGCCCTTCGTCCGCTGTCGGCGGCGGAGCAACCAACCCACTCTCGTCGGAGAAGATGGCGATGGGTCCGGGCCCACGCCACAGGCACAGTAGCTCGATGGATGGGTCTTTCGCTACGGCGTCGTTCGAGGTCGATTCCATCTCGGAGAAGAAAGCTATGGAAGCTGACAGACTTGCAGAGCTTGCCTTGATTGACCCTAAGAGAGCTAAAAGGTTTTTTGACTTTTTCACTCTTTTTCAATTATTTATTTATTTCAGCTACTTTTAATCATCAGTAAATTAAAAATATACTCCGTATATATTTTTCTGAATTTATTTTGAATGATTTTAAATTCCCATTTTTTTTAATATCAACATTTTTGTTCTCTCTCAATGACCTTGTAGTCTAAGTAGCACTAGCCCTTCCATTTGGGAAGTCATAATTCCATCTTTACTAGATTGATAAAGTAGTTATGAATAGATACACTCTAAAAGAGTAGTACTAAAAAAAAAAAAACATTGTTCTCTTTTAATTCCTCACCATTGCTGAGAATTTTAGGTGTTATCCGGTTGGTTTGGTTGTATGTATAATCATCCTTAATTTCTAGTGTGAGGTCAATGGTTGCTATCTTCATAGCTGTCCAGAGAATCTTTTGACTGGTCTTGTTGTGGATTTTTATACTCCCTACCTTCTAGGGAAGGTATCCCATCTTCGTCTAGGACTTTAGGGTTATGGGGTTATGGTTCGATTCCTACCGAAAATTTTACATGAACTCTCATTTCTTATTCTCAAATTTTATTCCCTCTTACAAATCGTTGATGTAGATACTTTTTCTGGACTCACATGATGAAAATATCCTATTATTGTTTGACACATCATGAAATAAAAGTGAGAAAGTAGAATTTGAAAGTACATGTAGTAGAATTAACCGGGTTATGAACACCAAACCTATATTCATAGAATTGGGCTAGTTGAGGGCACCAAACCTAGACATATATCCCTATTATTTCCTCAGTCCCGGGTTCGATTCCAACCGAGAGGTATAGAATTAGCCCAATTGTGGACACCAAACCTATATGCATAGAATTGACCCGGTTGTGGAAACCAAACCTATAGGCATACATCTGTCAAGTCTCGGGTTCGATTCCTACCTAGAGGTGTAGAATTAGTTTTGCTATGGCCACCACACTCGGAGACATATCTCATGATTTACCTTTTTCTGTTTCTCACTGAGTCATTGACCTCGAGGTAAGGAGCATGTGGGGCCTCTAGGGTGGTGGGGTTGGGATCTTTTAGTATTGGGTAGGTACCTAGTCAAATCATGTATCTTTCATTCTTACATAGTACATTTACACTTGATCTTTATTGTAGGACTAGGACTAGAATGAACTGTTGGGTGGTAACCAATGAATGGTGCATAGTTTGGTGATGTGTCTGGGGTCTGGGGATATATAATCCTATTTCTCAGGAGCTTAGAAATAGTTGGGAAGTGTTTCACCTGTCCAAAACTGCAATATGCAGGATTCTAGCAAACCGGCAATCTGCAGCGCGTTCAAAGGAGCGAAAGATTCGCTACACAAGTGAGCTGGAGAGGAAAGTGCAGACACTGCAGACTGAAGCAACTACTCTCTCTGCACAGATTACTCACCTGCAGGTATCACGCTAAACTTTAAAATCAAGCTGAAGATCATTGATAGAAATCATAGAACTATGTTAATCCTATTATAATACTGTAATAGTCATGATTGTTGTGCTACTGCACTGTGGGTATCAGCAAATGTTGAACTGGAAACGTTTCTCGTGTGATTCTTCATCTGCAATGGCTTCTAAATTACTTTCTTTCTTCCCTTTATGATGTGGTCCAGAGAGATACTTCTGGACTGACTGCTGAGAACAAAGAACTCAAACTGCGGTTACAGGCTTTGGAACAAGAAGCTCATCTTCGGGATGGTATGCGTTCTGATCTCCAACCTCGTATGCAATAGCTATGTTGTAATGCTCGACTTGAAACAATATTTGATGTCTGTGTTCTCTATGTGGACATCATTATCAGCTCTAAACGAAGCTCTGAAGGAAGAATTGCAGCGGCTTAAGATAGCAGCTGGGCAGGCTCAATCTGCCAATGGGAACAGCATGAACAGGGGACTGGGCCCTCAACTTCATCCGCAATCACAGGCCTTTGTTCACTTTGGCAACCACGAAGCGCAGCAGCTTCACATGCCTCGTCCCACCACGAGCATGCCAAATGTCGGTGGGCATCCCCAGCCTGGCTTCCTGGATTTCAATCAGAGGGCTTGATTACAATCTGAAGACTATAGCTACACAATTAATGTATCATATATAGCTTCATATATAAGTCATATAGATTATGGTTGCATAGAGTTGCTCTAATCAATTAGTTGTGTCTATTACTAATAGCAGCTTGTACCAATCTGAAGGGTAGAGGTTCTGTTAAGAATATCTTTCAATAATAACAATCAACTTGCTGAGAAAAGTTGAAAATTGAATCAAATACAGAAAGCCACAGACTTGAGTGTTACATACAATTGATTATATTGATTAAAAACAGGAAAATGCATTGAAGATGCAAATACACACACCTTATATTCTGCCTCAGATCAGTTTCCTAGCATCAATCAACAGAACTCACGCGGCGCACATTTGAAGGAGGCAACAGCATTTGTAGTTTCTTTATCATTTGCTCCAACTTCTGCAGTTTCTCTGATTCACCTAACTCTAACAAAATCCTCTTCAACATCTGGAGCACTAGTTGGCTCGGAAGTCTATCTCTCTCTATCATTTGCTTAGAGCACTCTAGGGCCTCGTCAACTCTTCCATGGGAGCATAATGCTGTAACCAAAAGGTCCAGTGCATGATTATGTGGACACTGCCCTTTATGGACCAAGTAGTTCCACAAACTTAGGCCCAGATCAAGCCTACGATTCTCACAAAAAAACTTCATTAACATTACCACACTCCGTGTCTTTGGCAAGAAATTTCGTTCAGTCATCTTCTTGTATAGTTGAGATACAGCATGAATCTCTTTTGATCTAATTAATGCCCAGAACATAGAGTGATAAGTAAAGTGGTCATGCCCAATATTGTTTTCTTCCATCTCATCCATTAAGGCTGCTGCAGCTTTGACATTCCTAGATCTGATAAGAGAACTCAAGAGAGCATTATAAGCCCCAACATCTGGTTGTAAACCTCGCTTGGAAATTTCATTGAACAGCTCTTTCGCTTTACTTATATTCCGAGCAATCCCTGCTCCATAAATCAAGGTTGTAATTGTTTCCAACGTTGGCGAGCAATTAACACTTTCCATCTCTCTGAAGAGCCTCAAGGCGTCCCCTAGACAGCCTTTCTTACAGTAAGCGTCAATTCTAATGTTATAAGTTACATGGTTAGGCCTGAAGCCTCTTCGAACCATCTCATGGTAAAACAACTCCACTGCTGTTACATTCCCCGATTCCTTGAACCCTAACAGCAAAATATTCATCGTCTTAGTGTTTGGAGAAAACTGAGAATGAAGCTTAATGAAGACTGAACGAGCTTCTTTCATCTGCCTCTGAGTGCAAAATGCACGAATAAGTGTGTTGAACTCCTCAATGCCAAACTTTTTCCCAACAAACACATGTCTCTCCATCTTCTCAAATGCTTCAAGAGTATCTTCATAGGACTGGAATTTCGCTATTCTTGACAACACGATATTCATCGACTTAATAGTAAGCAGCGACGGATGTGTCTGCTGGATTTCCTTCATCAACTCCCAAGCTTTATCAAAGTAGCGCATTCTAGTCAATATGTGAACCGTCTTCTCAAACGCGTCTGCAGTAGGGTTATATCCAGACTGGAGGAGGCAGAACTTGAAAAATTCATAAGCTTTAAGGCCATTAGCATGTGCTGCAAATAAGCGACCCAGGACATTCTCCACAAAAGATGGAGACAAGACAGTGGAAGGAATATATCTCTCAAGTGTAGGCTGCAGTGGCTGATCAGGAAAAGAATGATCATTAATCACTCTGACAATGTTTTCAATTTCACTTTCTGTTCCAGAACAAGAATGAAGCCAACAACTTGATCTAAACCCAGTATTTAGCGTTCCAGGAACCAGGAGAACTCCACAAAATCTGTTCATTCTTGTAAGTAGCATTTTTGCTTGTGTTAAATCTTCTCTTCATAAGCCCCAAGATTATCACATTACCAAATCCTGCTCCCACATTCACAATTGCACAAAAATCTCATTGCAATAAAGAATAGAGGAGGAAAAATCATATGCTATTCAATAAATAATAAGAGGAAATTACAGTCATATGCTATCAATTTCATCAAATAATGTCAAACTCTCATCCTATAGAATGGCTATAAAGGAAATATTTCACGTTTCTGTATGCAATACCGAATAGTCACAAGTACAAATTCAAAAAAATAAGGAAATGAGGTTTTTTCTTACTTGATCTTCACCCACAGAAAAAGGCCAAAACAGGTGCTGGATCAGAGATAATGAGGAACTTGAATGTAAGATTATATGGACGAAACGGAGCTGGTGTTAAGCTGCGTTCGCGACACGGCGGCTTGAGGTTTTGCAGGCGGTGGCTGCCGGGATGAGCCGTGCGAGACCGGAGGCGAGTACTTGCAGACATATGAGGGAAAATGGGCTTTAAATGATTCTTACTTAAGCCCAATCCGTTTGCGGGCTTTGGAGGACTACGGCCCACCCATAAATATATGGCAAATTATGCTATGCAAGGTGCGCACGGCGCTAAAACGGCGTCGTTTTCCGTGAAAACGACGCTGTTTTAACTATAAAAAAAAAATTTGTTCGAAACGCCGTTAACGGCATATTCGTTATGAAATTATGAATATATAGTTATGACATTATGAATGTACAGTTATAGAATTATGAATGTATAGTTATGGAATTATGAACTTACAATTATGAACATAGAGCTTCGAAAATTATGAATGTTCGGTATGGAATTATGAATGTACAGTTATGGAATTATGAATGTACAGTTATGAAATTATGAACATAGAACTCTGACATTATGAACTTACAATTATGAACATAGAGCTTCGAAAATTATGAATTTACAGTTATTGAATTATGAATGTACAGTTACGGAATTATGAATGTACAGTTATAGAATTATAAATGTACAGTTATGGAATTATGAATGTACAGTTATGAAATTATGAACACAAAGCTGTGAATATATGCTCCTATAACGAAGCGGTCTGAAATTAATTTTTTTTTAAAAAAATAAAAAAAAATAAAAAAAAATAACGGTGCCTGACGGCACCGTTATCCGTGCCCATGAAGCACACTGGGCACGAGCCCACAGCATAACTATCCTAAATATATGCATCTTTTTATTTGGTCCTATATATTTCTGGACTTAGCGTAGTGATTTGTCGTTTGACTTGACGTCACGATTGAAGGTGACAAAGTAAGAATTTGAATCCCACTGAAAACATAAATGGACCGATTGTGTAACTCGTAATTTACCTCCGTAGTATCTCTAAGACGGGGTCTTGTGGTTTAAAATAGTCCGGCGAAGAATACAAATATTACCAACTAAGGAATACTATATAGTGTCTTTATTACCTTGTAAAAAATTATGAATGTTTAAAAAAAAAATAAAAATATTTTTTTTCTCAATGGTAATATTATTTTTTGTGGAGTAAGCCAAGCCAGAAGATAAGTGATCCCCCTTGGAATCAAATCCCATTTTTTATTAATTAAAAATTTGCATATGGTGAGGTGTAAAATGAATAAAGGTCGCAAAATGAATGTATTTAAACTTTACAAGAAACTTTTATTTTTTTAGAAAAAGAAAGGTTTCGTATTCTAATCAAAGAAGTCATTTTCAGTGATTGGCATTCCACTAATTAAGTATTAAAAAAATGGAAAATGAAGTGGCCAATCACTTATGACTTATTCCTCACTCATAATTAATGATTATAAAATTTGTCTATAACTTTGTGGTCTAATAGATTAGAGTTACTCTCCTAAATATCATGTGTTTGAACCCTAATAATGACAATATTGAAAGAAAATAACTATGAATAAATACTATACTGTAATTACGGTTGCAAAAATTAGTTTAGGCGTCCGCCTAGGCGTTAAGTGCCTCTTAACCGTGGCGATTTCGGCCTAACTTGGCCAATTCGAGTTAACTCATCCATTTCGGTCAAGTTAACTGAGTGCCTGAGTTAACCTGGTCGACTCGGTCTTGTTAATTTTTTTCATTTTATATATGTATATATAATATGACATATATACACTTACATATGTACATTGTGTTTTTTTTTTAATTAGTCGCATAGGCGCCCGCCTAGGTCGCCTTGGCACTGCCTAAATTGTCTAGGCGTTAGGCGCTGCTCTACCGCTCGACTAGCGCCTAGCGCCTACTGCGACCATGACTGTAATAGGCTTAACACTAAAAAAAATGATCACAGCATTTCAGTTTCATTTGCATTTCATTTCGCAGTGCATCCAAGAATAGGATCTAGGATTCTCTATTCTCTCTCCCTCAGATACTCTCCCCACTGCTATATCTAGTACTTTCTGATTGCCAACTCTCTCTCTCTCTCTCTCTCTCCTCTCTCTCTCTATACTAGAAAGTAAAGCAGCAGGAAAAGGTCCTTGCTCTGATCAGGCAAGCTTCAATTATACTTAACTTTATCATACAATTAATCTGATTAAACTGTTTTGATTGAATTCTTAGTTTTGGTTTTGATCATTTTGCTACTTTTGATGGCTCTGTGCTCTTATTTTCTTTATTTTTTGCTTATTCTTTGGTTATTGTTTTAAAATATGTTCCAGTTTGACAAGAAGAGTCCTTAGCAACTAAGTTAGCCTCCCCAACAAGAAACCTTTTCTGGGTGTTTCTGTAATGCTTTTGATCCATCTGATGTTGTTTCAAGCTTTAATCACTATTTTGTATGCCTGTAATTATGTATCTTGATTGTTGACTATGTCAAATCAGTTTTTTTTTTTTATTTTATTTTATATATAGTTTTTTTGGGTGTGATGGGTATATGTCAAAGCAGTTTTAGAGCAATTTATCCTATCCTGCAAAGTTGCAGCTTTAAGTAATCAGAGGTAATTAATTTTATGCATGTTGGCTGGGGTTAGTTTCTAGGTGAGAAAGGTTGTTTTTGCCCATGTTTTGTCATTCATTTCATTATGTCATAGGTGTACTTGAGTAGCCATACTCCTCATTAAGGTTTTTTTCACATATATATCTGTCTTCCCAATCTTGTGCAGGGTAAGATAAGATGGCAGAGGGGGAGGAAGTTCAACCACTTGTTGTTGACAATGGAACCGGAATGGTTAAGGTTAGACATGAATGATATCAGGCAACCCCAACCAAGTTGATCAGATTGTTGGCTTGGCTTGGTAACCACATGGTTCCAAGTTCAACTCCCTGTTTCGGGGAGCGGCTTATTGACCTTCTTGGTTTAAGCTGGTCAGTTATGGGTAACCTAGATTGGTTTACCTCCTTGTGGTCTTTTGCCGGTTAGAATCATAAGACGAGGTTTACTTAGTGCACACCTTCGGGTAGTGACTGCGGGTTTTTCTCGTACAGGCTGGTTTTGCTGGTGATGATGCTCCTAGGGCAGTCTTCCCGAGTATAGTTGGTCGTCCAAGACACCAAGGTGTGATGGTTGGTATGGGACAAAAGGATGCTTATGTTGGAGATGAAGCTCAGTCTAAGAGAGGAATTCTTACATTGAAGTACCCCATTGAGCATGGAATAGTGAGCAACTGGGATGATATGGAGAAAATTTGGCATCATACCTTTTACAATGAGCTCCGCGTTGCTCCAGATGAGCATCCTGTTCTTCTCACCGAGGCACCCCTTAACCCCAAGGCAAATCGAGAGAAAATGACTCAGATCATGTTCGAGACCTTCAACGTGCCCGCTATGTATGTTGCCATTCAGGCCGTTCTCTCCTTGTATGCTAGTGGTCGAACAACTGGTAAGCACCTCTTGTAAACTAAGTGACAGATTTTGGGTTGTTGCTTTTGCTTATTTTTTCTTGAAAAGGTATTGTGCTGGACTCGGGTGATGGTGTGAGCCACACGGTCCCCATTTACGAGGGATATGCACTTCCCCATGCTATTTTACGTTTGGATCTTGCTGGGCGTGACCTCACGGATTATCTCATGAAGATTCTCACCGAGAGAGGTTACACATTTACCACGACGGCTGAACGAGAAATTGTGCGCGATGTGAAGGAGAAGCTTGCTTACGTTGCATTGGATTTTGAACAAGAACTGGATACAGCAAAGAACAGCTCGACTGTTGAGAAGAGCTATGAGCTGCCGGATGGACAAGTAATAACTATAGGTGCCGAGAGATTTCGTTGTCCTGAAGTTCTTTTCCAGCCATCGTTTATTGGAATGGAAGCTGCTGGAATTCACGAAACAACCTACAACTCCATCATGAAATGTGACGTGGATATCAGGAAAGATTTGTATGGAAACGTCGTGCTTAGTGGCGGTTCAACTATGTTCCCGGGTATTGCCGATCGCATGAGCAAGGAAATTACAGCACTCGCTCCCAGCAGTATGAAGATCAAGGTCGTTGCACCACCCGAGAGGAAGTACAGTGTCTGGATTGGAGGCTCAATTCTGGCATCACTAAGTACTTTCCAACAGGTAATTTTTCCCTTAACCCCGCCCCCCTGTTGAGCATATAACCATTAATGTGCAATCCAACTATCGACTTAGGTTTTTAGTTGAGATGGAGCACATGCTTCAATTTGGTATCAGAGCCAGACGATCATATAACCACCAACTATCAGCTTAGGCTTTTAGTTGAGATGGAGCACATGCTTCAATTCACCCCCCACAAACACACACACAAAAAGGCATTTGAAAAGAAGAACCTGAAACGGAGGACTTCATAAATATGCTGTTTATGTTCACTGAGGTTATTTCTAATGTTCTTGTGTCCTATGGGTCATTTCTGCAGATGTGGATTTCGAAAGCTGAGTATGATGAGTCCGGTCCCGCAATTGTTCACAGGAAGTGCTTCTAAAGTTCTAAGCTTGGTGAGATCTTGGTGCATCTAACTTATTCATGCCATCAGTTTAGAAATCTTCAATTTCGTCAAATTAACCTCAATTGACATAAAATCTCACAATCATTTTGTTCTTTGTTCTTCACATTGCATTTATAACTAGTTGTTACTTTGCCTTCTCTTAAACTTTCACAATCTCGGAACTAATGTGTAATGAATATCCTGCCGGCAATAGAGGCTAACGCAATTATCTTGCGCCATTTTCAGGATGAGTGTATTTGTGAAGGTTTCTTAGTGTGGCTTGGCTTGGATTGGCTTGGCTTGCAGTTTTGAACTATAGATACAAGGAAGAAAAAAAACACACATTGTGACATTATATGGTCATTTAGAGTATGTTTGCTATCTATGTAGTATATTATATGTACTATGTCAGCATTGGATTGTTGTGTTGTTTGGTTGTGTAATGATCATGAAAACTTGAAACAGAAGTAGTTGATAAACTTGATATCCATAATAGATTATTATTTTTCATGGGTTACAAAAGTACCTGGTAATGGGGAACTGCATTGAGCATAGGATCTTCTGCACTAAAGCTTATGGGGAACTGTCATCAAAGAGAACTCTATAGAATCGTTTCCTTTCTTCTGGGTCAAATATGCCACCAAGATCTCCTCCACCAACTTGATCATCATCCTTCTCTGAAACTTCACCATTTTGGTTTCCTCTTTTCTGTGGTTCTACTGCTACAATGCCCCTCTTCCTCTTTTTCTCTAAATTTAGCAAGTGGTGTCGCCGGTTGTACTCATGCAGGCCCTCTTGCATTAGTTCTCCGAATTTCTCCTTTACAACGACAAGAGGATCCTTGTCGATGAGCTCAGATCCATCGTACGCTTCTCTGAGGAGAACAGTGTATATCTGGTACCTGTTTGAAACATAGAATATGGCAGGATGCTTGAGCAACAGGATGTTTAGTTTCTCAGGCAAACAGAACTCTCTTCTGAAATGGCCTAACTTCACAATTGATGCTTTCTTCCACAAGGTTAATGACAGTAATTCATGCACTAGCCCCACTGTTCTCTTATCCATCTCCATTGATCCTTCCACTAAACCTTTAGGGTCCAAGTAAGGTGAAATGTAAGGTGTGGAGTTAAATTCTTGAAACCTTTCCCGCGATTTCACCCAACTTGCTGGCAACGAGCATGAAAAGCGTGGCTCGTGACCCTCCTTCTCCGCTACTCTTTCAACACAAGAGACAGCTAAGTCAGGGTTCCACGACGTGAGTTCAATCTCCATTGAACTCCGCCTCCCTGTGTGATTAACAACTCGAAAAACTTGATCATACTTGGGCACAATTCTGAGTAAATAATCATCAGGAAACCCAAAGTTCCTCCTCAATTCATTGAGCTTAGTGACATTCAGTCTCTGGTCACGGCTCATCATTAACAACTTAGCTAGTCTCTCAGCAAACACTGGTTCCTGCATATCCTTCACAGATTCTTCCTCATCAACCAAAAACATCATTCTCTTGGTCATCTGGCAATAGTATTCGTTGTTCTCCAGAAACACTTCAAAGCAGCAGGGATACTTCTTGAGCCAATTCATGGCCTTTCCTTGAAGATCCAGAGTCTTGAACTTCTTCTGCAGGAACTTAACTGAAGCAACCTGGTTAGGACATCTCAGAATTATGTTCTTTATCTGGTTATTCACTATCCATCGACGGTTTCGAGATAATGCAGATTCAAGCTCTGGGTCTTTCTTCATTGACCATAGAGAAAATCTTCTCCCAATGTGCAGATTGTACAGTTTAGCATAAATGCTAAAGCTTCCATCTTTGAAGCTCTTCAGATACCATCCAGTCCCCATTTTAATACAACACTCCAATCTAAATTAAGACAACGAATGAATAGCTTTCTACCATAACCCGTTGTCTCCCATGATAAAACAATTTTAGCTTTTCTTTTCGAGGGTACAAAGTATCATGTGAAGCTCATTCTCAAGCTCTTTGAGTCAATTCGGTGAACACATGGTGTGCATCCCTACAATATACACTACTAACGCTATGCAGACGGAAAATGAAACCACGAAAGGTAGAGATGAAGGCTTCTGAGATAGAAGAAAGAAGTAAAGAACCTGTGATCAGGAAACCGAAAGGACCAGATTCCAGAAGGGTGACGTCGCAGTGTCCTGAGCCTCTTTATTCGTTGACAATAAGGTAACCAAAATTATTTCGAGGGTAACAATTTTGGAAACCCCATTCGATATTTGTATCATTATATTCGACTCGGATCATGTCTCGCATAGCTTGACTCTTATCCAAGAAGACCTGACAGATGATCAAACCATTTGCATTTGCTTGAGATCGCATCAAAATAGTAACTAAATTGAATTTGTATATTTATCAGATCCAAAAGCTATAAAGGGTTATATCTTTTCACCGATAAAGTTAGGCGCTCAACTCGGCCTAGTTGAAGTTTAAGGTGTTTAGTAAGCCGACTAAAAATCGCCTTGGACTGGAATCGTCTTGGTCTAGCGTCCACAAAAAATCGCCTAAAACTGAAATCGCTTCGATCTAAAAGCGTTCAATGCCTATACCGATTTTTGCAACACTGCTTAAGACGTATCATATTTTTTAACTAAATTTTCATATTTTTATATATTTATATAAAAAAATTACATTTTAATTAAAAAGTATTACATATCTGACGTGAAATGGTCTTACACAAAGACGTATTTTATAGACAACAACTAATTCAATGGTTATTAATCTCCACACTCTTTTCCCACAGAAAAGGATCAGAATCTTGAAACAACAATTTACACAGTAGAACACTTTTGAATGTTGCTTGGATGAAGAACCAGCAAACCACTTGTTTGCAGTTGATGTTATAAACTTACAATACATTCTTCAGGATACCTTGAGCTGGTTAACATACCATCACACTATGCTGGGGCTATCACCTTCCCAACTACACTTTGCTTCTGGCGGTTCTTCACCTCGCTCGACTCTTCTGAACGATGGAATCGTTGCTTACAGTACAGATACGATTCACAGCAGCTGTATATATGTATACATATATAGGACTATAACTCTATGCATTTATTGAATATACCGACCTTGGTTTTAATTACTGTAATCAATGCAAGAATCTACTGTCATTGTGTCGGGGATTCAAGCAGTATGCGTGTCGGCGGCATCCCAGCTGGGTTGCTGGAGGCCGGGAGCTGAATAATAAAAGGTTTTTTTTTTTTCTCCTTTAAAACTACTCACACAATTTGTAGTTTTATTCTTGGTAACAAATTAAATAGTTTTATTGTTATTATTTAGGAAAAATTTGTTAAATCGACACATAAGTCAACTATTGAATAATGCAATTGGATTCCTAAGTCTTTTTTTTTTTTTTTTAAAAAAAAATTGATTTAAGTCTTCTAAACTAATAAAATTGTTCAATTAAGTCCAATTTGATTTATTTAATAGATTAAATCTATGCGGTGTTTGACACGTGATCTTTTTATTTTATTTTTTAAACAATTTTTTTATTTATTAAATAGTACAAATATGAAAAAAAAAAAAAGGAAAAAAAAAGTCACCAATGTTGAGGTAAAAGTGGTAGGACGGGCTTTGGTTGGGTTTTGCGGGATTCACACGAGGTTTTCCTTGCAGCCATGGCAGTTCCGGGAGCTGTGGTAGATGAGGCTCGTATGGCAAGGCGTTGAGTTGGTTGGAGGAGGTGGATGCTAGAGGGGTTGATGTTGAGATGGACGCGCAGGAGGTTTTCAATGCGTTGTGTGGGGTGCGATATAGTCCTACTTTTACCTTATTATTGATGATATTAAAGTTATTGCAGCTTGGTCTAATGGTACCCGTGTTGGATTTCAATTTGGAAGGTTGTAAGTTTGAGCCTCGAGCTAGTAGCATTCAAAAAAAAAAAACTTATATTTTGATGATTTGCATTTATATTTTGTTAAGCTATTAGCGAACCATGCCACCCATATGATTGTTAAGGAGACTTGTTCTTTGTGTTGGTCGTGTTGCTTGGTTTGATGTTCCTCATTTTATTGTAAGCACTTTGTTTTCTGATAATCAAAGTTAGTCGTGTTGATTTAAAAAAAAAATCATAATTATTTTTGTAATAGTTACACTTATTTATTTGTTGTTTTGGACAATCATGACTATTCGCCAGAATTATATAAAATTAATTAGAGACAATTACGAACTATAGTGTTATATATATATATATATATATATATATATATATATATATATATATATAATTAATATCAACACAAATATTAAATTTCCATATATTAGTCAAATATGTAAAAACTTGTTAAATATGTAACACTCACGTTATTCTACGTTTTCTTGCATGAATGGATTAGGAGTAATAGATTTTTTTAGTAGTACTGACTCTGTTATAATATAGTATCTGTTCATATTTAGGGCTCGAACTAATGACCTAGCATTTGGGAGAGTAACTTTATACTACTAGATCACAAAGTAATTGGCATGAGGGTTAGATTAGTTTTTTTTTTTTTTTTTTTTTTTTTTTTTTTTTTTTTTTTTTTTTTCAAGTAGTTGGATGAATATTGAAAAAAGGGTCAAATAGGCCCCTAAAATTTATCCCAAATGTAAATTAGGCCCATAAACTTTTTAAAAAGTACAATTAAAACCTTCAAACATGTCAAATTAGACCAATGAAGCCAAAAAAGGGATAAATGACCTGTTATTACATGTTATTTCAATTTCAGCGACGAATTCCGGCGGCGGTTGTCAAATTCCGGCCGTCCGGTCCGGTCGTCTTCCACTGAAGAAGACAATTGGACGACCGCCTTCTCCATTGGAGAAGACGATCGGATCTGGCCGTCTTCTCCACTGGAGAAGGCAGCCGTTTGGTCGTCTTCTCCAATGGAGAAGACAGCTGTCCAGTCGTCTTTTCAAGCGGAAGACGACTGGACGGCCAGTGCGGGACTTTGTCGTCGGTGACAGAAATTTGTCACTGGTCGTCGAAATTGAAATGACATGTAATAACAAATCAGTTACCGAGTTTTGGGCTTCATTGACTGAATTTAACATGTTTGAAGGTTTAATTACATTTTTTTAAAATTTAGGGGCTTAATTGACCTTTAGAGTAAAGTTTATGGGCCTATTTGATCATTTTCTCGTGAATATTTGATAAAATTTATTGGGTTAAACATTAATCAAAATTTTTAATTGGGATTTGAAGATTCCACGCGGCAGTTGTTGACCCAGGTGCAGCATTGCAAGCATGTACTCGGCTCCACAGTATCGCTCCTCTTCCATCATCTACGTTCCTGTATGATTCCCCCAAAACAGCAAATAGTCATCGGAGGGCAGCTCACAGACTCACAGATCCAAAATTCAGAAAATCTTTACTATTTTATTTATATTTATTATTAATTTCTCAATTTTGTTGATTTTATTTGGGTAATTATACGTACAATATTGTGTATCTAAATTCACGGAATAATTAAAAATAAAAATTATATATAAAGAGAAATGTCGAGCGACAGTAATGATATAGACGAGGACGAGCTCTTGCAGATCGCATTGAGAGAGCAAGCCCAGCGCGATCTCAACTACCGGAGGCCCGGTGATAAGCAGCCGTCTAAGCCGGTCCGCAACTACGTCCAGCCACCTCCACAGCCGGCGGCGGCGGCAGCGGCAGCGGCGGCCAATCAGCGAGCGGCGGCGGGGGGAAGAGCTCCCAACGCGACGATGCAGCGCAAGCAGAGGAAGCAGGTGGAGGAAGACGATGATTCGGAGGTCGAGATGCTCAGCATTTCCTCCGGAGATGAGGACTCCTCCAAGGACCGCGGTTTCGGCGGGGAAAAGAACCGTGCCGCGAGCGGAGGGAGAGGTGGGAAGAATGATGAGAAGGCGTGGGATGGTGGCGAGCCTGGCTGCTGGAAACATGTTGACGAAACAGAGGTATCCAATTACGACTGTAACATTCTTCTCTCTCTTTACATTTTATTTATCTTCAATCTTCAGCCGTAGCGTTATATGAGTTTTTAGTTTTTTTTTTTTTTTTTTTTTTTTTTTTGCCGGAAGTAAATTGTATTGATTGTCGGCACGGAGAATTTGAGCTACATATTATCGCCTTTCATTACACTATAGTTAGTGAATTCCTGCGGATGCCTCTGCTCGTGTAGACATGCATGTTTTCTCTAAGCTGAAACTCTTGATGTGATTTACAATTGAGGTGGTGCTTATGCAAGTTAATAGGGCGATTGACTGCCTACTCCTTTATACATATGAATTTGATACTACAGTAATTAAACTTCTAATTCTAATGTCAAATTGAGCACTATGTGGATTTTGGGGTTGTCCAACTTATGAAATTTGAACTTTTGGCAGCTAAGGCGTAGGGTTCGTGATATGAGGGAGTCGAAAGCAGTTCCCGTTGCACAACCTAAGGTTATTAAGCATGATCCAACAAAAAAGGGACTTAATACCACACAGTCATTTCCCCGTGGCATGGAATGTATAGATCCTCTTGGATTAGGGTATTGATAAGTTCTCTTTATACCCATTATTGTTATATATGGCTCTGAATATTGTTTTATGTGGACATGTCATGCTAAATGGATATTTTAAAATTATACATACTTACAGGATAATTGACAACAAAACTTTGAAGTTGATCACCGAGCGTTCATCAAGCTCTCCAACTGCTGCTGATAGAGAGCATTTAAATCCTGAATTTCGCGGTATTTATTTTACCACAAGATTACTTTAATTCTGTTGGACTGTTTGTGCATTGTGCCTCTTCATATATTTGAGCTTTCCTTGAATGACACGGTACAGATTTATGATCCAAATTTGTGAAACCCAAATAGTATGGTGGATACCATGAAGTTTATTCACAGATACTAAATTTACTAGTGCTGTTGTACTTATATGCAATTAACTTGCTTATTTTTATTGTCCCTATCTGGTATGAACTATGAATCTCCATGAAGAAAATTTGTTTATGCTTGCTTCTATTTATGCTCTGATGGTGCACCTGTTTGCTCCTAGTGTTTGTTGGTTTATGGATTGTAGAGTTCCTACTTCTACCACATAGCAAACCTGATTTTTGGACACTAGATACTGACTGAGCAAATTGTAGGGCTTGCTGATTCTATGGGTTGTATCTCAAAGAATAGATCCTTTGTGGTGGATACATAAAAACTTCCATAGTTGATAGGAAATTCTTTTAGTAACCAGGTATCACCAATGAGATGCACATGCCATCATAATTTGCTTAAGTTGAATAATAATACACCACACCTGTGGTTTGTGTCTAAGGCACAATTGATTTAGGAAAGTAGCACCAAGAATCTT